CTGCCCGCCGCTCGTTCGCACCTCCTCGCCGTGCCGCCAAAGCAACACCGACGGGCCCTCAGACTTAAGTTGATTTATTTAGCAGGTCCACTCGGCTCCCCGGTGATGTGAGCCCCCGCTGCCAGCCCCACGCCCGCCCATTCCTTCCGTCCATCCTTCGCCGTCATATTAGAGGCGAGCCGCACCATGGGACCAATGGGCCGAGGGTTGAGAAGCGTTACGTGCCAGCGTACCAAAGTCTCAAACGTGCAAACACATGCGCCTATGTTTTTTTTTTTTTTTTTGAAGTTCACAAGTACAACTTATTTTTATGAGTGATCTTTTTCTTAATCTTTTTCCTGGCTTCGGTGTCACATGAGTTTGTTTTTTTTCCCAGAAAAAAATTGCCTTTCTTAAAATATTAGAAAAAAACACAACTTAGTTTGTGAGTGTTTACATTTTTTTTTCTTCGAAAGACTCCTCACGTCCCATCCCCAAATAGCCTATTTTAAATAATATTGCTTAAAAAAAAAGACAATAAATACGACTGGAATTTATTATTTTTTTTTCTAATGTTGCTTCTGATCAGCGGCTCTTCTCGATGCCAATTGAAGACCTCCCAAGCCAATTCTTTGCCTTTCTCCACCCCTCGACGCCCGTTGATCTACTCGGACAAGGTCGGACTCACGGTGTCCGAGTGGGCGTCGGTGTAGGGTTCAAAAGTCAAAGGTAGCGCCTCTGGGATGCGGCGGGTCCTGCTCGTCACGTCAATACTCCTGACAGGCTGGCTAACACCTTCCTGGCGGCCGCGGGGTCGGCGAGGGCGGGGGTTGGCGGGTTCCGGCATGACAGTGGAGGACTTGTTGACCTTGCCGCGAGTCGCCAGTGTCGCTAGCAGAGCCGTCGATAGCCCGGTGTCATCACATTAGCGCTTGAAAGCGCAGCCTTTGGGCCACCACACCGATGTTTGGATGACAGATTGCGACGATGTTGTTGAGGTGAAAGTGGGCTACAATTTAAGTCTGAAAATACGGCTTTTTTTCTGTAAAAGAAAAATAAATGTCGTCATCCGTCGAAAGAAAGAACAAATCAATTTTCCCCCAAAAAAGAAAAAATATCTATGTATCTATTTTTTAACATTATTTCCCCCAAAATATATTTTTAATTCACAGAATATTACATCTTTTAAGATCTTTATCTCCCTCATGTTCCGTTTTAATTCTTTAAATAATTTGCTTTAATTGTTTCAAAAAATATCTGAAATAGGGAAAGTCTAAGCATTTATTTTTTTTGTCGAAAAAACAATTCTTGAAATACATCAGTATTCTATAGTCAGCTACATATGAATACGTCACTTTATTTTATTAAAATGGCATTCATGCCATTTTAAAATACATATGAATGTACTTCATTGTTGGAAAAAAGTAAATATTCTAAAAAAATAGATATTATTAAAAAAAAAAAAAGCAACTTCATATGAAAAGAGTAGACTTTTTTAAAAAAATAAAATAAAAAATAAAAACAAACACATTTTTCCCAAAATTGTCTATTTGGCCAAAGTAATCGCAATAATAATAATAATAATTGATTCTAAAAAATATATGATTTGTCTTTAAAAAAAGATATATATATATATATATATATAGGTATAAAATATACAACTTGAAAAAATCTACATCATAGAAGTAAGCTACAGATGAGGTGAGTGGACGCGTTGGCCTCGGAGGCTTTTTTGACTGACTTCCTTCCATCTTCAATGGGACGGAAAAAAAAAGATGCGATCACGGCGAGGGCGGCCAGCTCATCCGTCATTTGTGGAAAAGGTCAAGATTTTGCAGGTGGAAGGCGGCCATCGGCGGGATTTTTCCGCTGCCGTGAGCAGCTAAGAAGCGCTGGCTTAAAACGCATCTGCCAGTAAACATTTGGCCTTGACTGCTGGTCCAGCGCTCGGCCGAGCGTGAACGCATACCTGCCGCGGAAAAAAAAAAAATCTGCAGCAAGCCGACTTCCAACTTTCCTTTTTAGCCTCAGTTGCTCCTCGCTAACTGCTCGTCCACGCGGACAAGACCGCTTTTTTCCCCTCCGGAGTTTCTACTCCAAGATTCCCAGCTTGAGACACGGGGATTTGGATCTTAGACAACTTCCGACCTTTCGTGAAGCTTTATGACATACATAGATATGTAACTGTTGCAACCGTAATAATAGGAAAGACATGCTCGCACGCCGACTCTTTCGCAAATGAATACACACTTCAGAAATAACCCCGTCATGTTTGTGTGTGAATGCAAAATGTCTGCCTCATCGTGGCAGTTCAGATCACAGAGCCCTCTGGTGTATTGCAACAGCGGAATGAAGCTCGCTCAGCGCCATTC